AAGGTGGGGCTTTCATGAGCCTCCATTACTTTGTCCTGGGTGGGCACAGAGTGATAGGGTATTAGAACAATGCCAAATATAATCTGTTGCTATAGGGAATACCACTAGTTTGAAAATAATCCCTCATGCAGATAAGAGAGGAAATGGTGCCTCTTAGAGACCTGTAGAGAAGGGTCAAGGTGAAAGGTTCAGGATCCCATTCTTAGCAAAGCACTAATATAGCTCAGCTCGTCAGAATATGCAAAACATAGAATGAGGAGGGGTGAGGAGGGATTACTTCAGGATCAGTTTAACGAGATGCAGAGGATCAGCAGAGTTTAAATTAGGTGATCAGTAAGTAGGCTGGCTTCCCTTGCTTTTTTCAAGAACTGCAATACTAATAAATTTCAAACTACACATATCTTGTTTTAATAAAATATTTAATTATAAAAAGATAACTTCTACTTTTACCTAAAAGTAATAAATACAGTGGCAGGATGACCACCATTGTTTCACCCCGTCCTCTTACTGTGTGTAAAAAAAAAAAAAAAAAACACCTCAAGCACCTCTTTACTGCATCATCTGGTGTGCGAAATTTAGAGTGAAATTTTTATCTTACCTGTAAAATCCTTTTCTTGGAGTACATTACAGGACGCAAGTTGATATTCAGGAACATAGGGTTATGCTGCCATCTTCAGGAGTAGGACACTGGCAAACAAAGATGTTATCACAGCCCTGCTTAATCCTTCCCACTCCCAGCAAGCAATAGTGGGTGAATCATAAGGAAGAGAAGGGAGGGACCTGTACCCTGTAATGTACTCAAAGAAAAGGACTTTACAGGTAAAAACAAACAAAACAGTATTTTTTTGTTTTATCTTACATTACAGGACACAGGGTGGTATTCAGGAACAAAGAGGACGTTACCAAGCAATACAACTGAGTGGTGGGCAACACAGCAAAACAAAACACTAACAGGTGCACGCACATAACAGGTTAACAGAAGGCGTTCAAGATGGCTCACAGAGCTGCCTGAAGAACCATATGGTAAAATGTAAACATCGGGCCAGGTAGCAGCCTTGCAGATCTGAGAAACAAGTGCCTGATGCCAGAAAGCCCAAAAAGCACTAACAGACCTAGTAGAATGTGCTGTGATAGGGAAAGGTGGAAACTTGCTCTTATGTCCATGATAGCTTGTTGAACCTACCCAGAGATGGCGACCAAACCAATAAAGCCAGCAAACAGTGAGGAGGGATGGTAAACTGGGACAGCAGAACCAGAGGGCCCAGAAAGGTTAAAGCAGAAGTGCAACACAGTCCAAGTGCTATTTCTGCCTGGGCCAGTTTGGTATAATGAAGATCACCAGAAAGTCCTCAGTCTGTCCTGCTGAGCAGACAAGGAAGGAGTTTCAGCAAAAGAAATGCTTAGATCAGGCTGAGCTGATCCCACAAAATCACAAGGGTGTCCACAGTAAGGGTCAAGGGATCCCTGGATCTGGACACAAAACGCTCCAATTACTTTTTAAACCAGGAAGCCAGGAGGTGCAGCTTAGTGCCCCCCATCCCCACCCCACAGGTCTTGAAACACCTCCACGTGGAGAGACAATTCCCTGTAGTCTGGATGTTGATAATGAAGGATGCTGGCCTGCTAATTTGCCACTCTTGGAATATGGAGGGTATAGGACTGGTACATGAAGTGCCACTAAAACGAGAATCAAATTTGCCGGCAATGAAACTCCTGGTACCCTCTGGTGGCAACGGCTATGGCACTTTCTGACTGAATCCTGGTCAGATGACTCCACCATGGAAAGACCCAGCATTGAAAGGATAAGAAAATCAAAAAGCAATGTGTTGCGCTCCACTAACAATGTGAAAATATATAAACATACATAATTATGAATAGATAAAGATGAGATATATGAGTATTAAATAAAGTGGATAAGTCCAACATTAATTCAGCCGCATGATGTTACAATCATGCTGACGCTGTGTGCGCATCTTTGAATAATACGTGACTTTAATTATTTTATTTTATTTCAGGTACTTCTATAGCGCCATCAATTTACGCAGCGCTTTTACATATATATTGTACATTCACATCAGTCCCTAACCCTCAAGGAGTGTACAATCTAAGGTCCCTAACTCACATCCATACATACACATATTAGGGCCAATTTAGACAGGAGCCAATTAACCTACCAGCATGTCTTTGGAGAGTGAGAGGAAACCGGAGTACCCGGAGGAAACCCACGCAGGCACAGGTTTAATGTGTCTGAATGGTGTAATAAGTGATGTATAGACCACCAATCTTTAAATTATGTGCTCCTTCACCAGTTGTGCTCTCCCCGATGTTTGAGTGAGGTCATAAAAGCTTGTGCCCCTTTAATTGGACTCAGATGAATAGATGAATGTATCCCGGTTTCCCAGATGGATGGATGGATGAGTGGAGTATTTCCCTTTTCCCAGCAGGGGGTCTTGCTGCTTCCTAGAGGCAGATGGATGGAGTTATCCTTCTTCCCACTAGGGGGTCTCTTCACTCCCTTCAGATTTTTCTCTCCATGTGCACAAGTACCATGTAATTTAAAAATAAAATATAGTGCCTTATCTTCTTTTTAAAATATTTATTAAGCAAATGTAGTGCACTTACATGTAATTTGAATTAAAAATGCTTTTTTTTTTTTTTTTTAACAAAAATACAGGATCCGCAATGTGTTGAATTAATGTTGGACTTATCCACTTTAATTTGTTTTATTTACTTCTCATATATATCTTCATTATCTATTCATAGTTATGTATGGATATATATTTTCGCATTGTTAGTGGAGCGCGACACATTGCTTTTTTATTTATGGTGACACACAATTATGAGTATCTGTGTAGTGTAGGCAGCCCACTTATTTATTTTACATACTTTTTTTGCATTTAATTTATTGCATTTACTTCACTCAGTTTATTTAATTTCCATTTTTTGGTGGAATTTTATTTACCAACTGTTTTTTTTTTATTTATATATTCACTAAAATAAATATCAATTTTATTTATAGAATACACCATAGTAGCTCACAAGAACCACAGATATCAATGAAAGGATAAGCGAAATGCTCTGAAATCCGGAATTTTGAATGGGAGACAAGCTTCCCAAAGAGATCAAGTCCCTTGGACCAAAAGAGAGTCCAGGTCTTTTCGCTAGCCTTACAGGCTGGCATCCATCTTTATGACTTTACAGCAGAGGGACAGGAAAGACTTCCCCAACTTCAAAACTCGATTTATGATCCACCAACCCAGAGCAAACTGGGTCTTGGGATGCAGGCAATTGTGCTAATCCCAAGTCCTCTAGTCACACACAGGCAGAATGTTGAGTTGCAGCAATCTGGAGTTAGATTGAGTGTACGGGAGTGACTTAAAATAAAATCATTAAAAGGAACACTAAAAACTTAGGTTTAAGAAAAAAAAATCGATTCAAGTATGTATTCTTAAATCAAAAAAGTACCTTATATTAAATCTTGGCCTCTTTCAAATTCCTTTCTTTGGGCTGCTGTAATCTGGCTTCCTGTTAAGAGAATACTTTTGTTCTCCATGGGTCCCATCGTATGTCGGAACATAGCCACCCTCTCTTGCTTACTCCCGAGATAAATTAGGGACTATGGGATTTGTAGTGTGCATAGAGCAATGCATATGACCACAACTAACTTGCACGGCTCGTTCCAAAGAACAGAAATAGAATGTGAAGGGGGAAAAGAGCACAAAAAAAAAAAAAAAAAAATACCCAAACGATCATGGAAAAAGAAAATGACAGGGCCATTAAGCAGTGAATATGTATGGATTATTTTTGGAGAATATGGATCTTGTTGAAGCCTGAGACCTTTACACAGAAATGGAGAGTTAGTTGGCCCCAGGACAGAAGCATAACCCTCTAGTAAAGAACCTTGGTGCATTGAATAGATCAAAAGGCAAGGAAACAAATGGGTGATGTTGAGTGCCTACTACTAGCATACAAAACACTGATAAGACGTTCACTAAAGCCCTGGTTCTAAGGAGGCAATGGTTGACTTGATAGATTCCACATGGCATTTTTGAACCCGAACGTAGGTGTTGAGCACCTTTCCGATACAACATGGGTTGAAGGCTGCTGCTGGGCTTGGGGACCATATGTAGTTGAGTAAAACTCTTGAAACTAACACTTGAAAGTGGAGCTGAGCCAGAGGATCGTGAAGGTCTGCCTGTCTTTGTTGCATGTTGGAAGGTTTGGCAACATGAAATGAGGCTGTAGGAGAAACTAACTGCTATCCCCTGTTGACCACATTCTGGACCAAAGGAATATCCTGGGTCCAGGTACCTGCAAGGGCCATCAGATGCCCCCTCAATACACAAATGGGGGTATCGCATCATTGGGAGGAGGATTTTGCCACAGCCTTGGAGAAATTGAGTTCAGGGCTTGCAATGGAACTAAGTTCCAGGATTAGTTTTTGACTTGGAAGTCTGTGAGGAACAAAAGTAACTTTTCAGAAACAGAGGTAGAGATTTTCACAGACTGAGCTACAGGAAAATCATATAAATTCTGAAGAGGCAATGAGGATTCCGGCTTGCAGCCCTTTTATGCTAATTCTGCGGTCATGACTAAAATATATTTTTCAAAAAACCCTGATACCGTAGCATTAAATTCTTTTCTGGTATAAACCTCAACTAAAAGGAGTTAGGGGAGACTCAGAGGAGTGCTGTCAATCTGCTAAGGAGCAGAGATCCAAATTATCAGTGTAACGTTCCTCTATGGCTACAATACCACATCCCCATGATACTGCTGCTACTGCACTTTTATTAAATCTGCTAGAAGAAAAAAAAGAGCTGAGAGAATAAATTCATCTACCAAGGACACTAGAAAATAGCTGTAGCTTGTTGGAAAAGGAAGGGGTTATGCAGGGTTGCCCTAACAGTTGTGCCAGTCTCCCGAAGGTAGGAACATAACCATGGTTCCTGAACATCAACCTGTATCCTGTAATATATACGATAAAGAAAGCAGTTTTCACTTCATACCGATTTTCTCCCTAACCGTTTGAAAACGCTCACACTGCGAGTATTGTCCATCTGAGCACTGCTGTTATCGCTAGAACTGGTCACGCGGGGAATCCCCACAGTCCGCTTTATGGTTATCTTAAAAGCTGTTGGGGGTGGCTTGCTACTGCTAACTTTGCTGTCTTGCGCTTCAGATTGCGGCTTTCCCAAACGCTTCACCAGTGCAGCAGAGGGCACTTTTCTCTTTCTTTCTTCCTCTGGGTTGGTTCTCTTGATTGTACCAAGCCTTTGTGCCAAGCTGATCTTTGAAGTGGTGAGCTTGGCAGGGGCACTTGCAGGGGGCTTTGTGGCAAGTCTTCTAATGGTGGTGATGGCAGGCTTTGGCTCAGAGCTTGTGGCTTTGGCCTTCACAGTAACCCCAGGTGTAAGCTTCTCTCTAACAATGGTGGTAGCCTTTTTCTTAAGCACACCAGCATACTGCAGAACACTGCCATCTTCATCACTCTCTGCTGAATGATCTTCACTGAGTGCATCACCCAAACGGCTAAAGACTCCAGTGGGCTGTAAAAACACAAGGTAAGCCATGAATACATAGGCATGATCAAAAGTAACCAACTACCTCTAAAGCACTTTCTACTCACCTTTGTTCCAGTTGTTGTGTCCACTTTGCTCTCTGCCCCCAGTCTGTCAAAGACGGACGTTCTGGTCAAACCTATAGCATGTTCATAAAATAAACAGAAACAACTAGAACTGATGTATTCTTACAGAGATTGCCATATATTTTATAAAAGGTTGCCCCTACTTCTGTGAGTCACAGGAGTGCAGTCAGTTCTGCACTCCTGTGACCCGTTTTCAGCCGACAGCAGGCTAAAGTCCGCTGTCAGCTGACGTCACTCAGCTGGTCCCAGGCTCTTGATGAATCCTGACTTTAACATCGGGATCCACCCAGATGACTAGACCAGCAGCTGCTGCTGCGAGCCGCCCCCCCCCCCCCCCCCCCCCCACTGGGAGACTAAGCCAGACGCTGCCTTCCACTCCACAACCTGGTGCTCCAGTGAGTGCTGGAGGGGCAGAGTAGAGTCGGTGAGTAACCGTCACTGGCTTTCTGTTCAGTAGTCTCTGGTCACTCAGTTCCCGATCTTAGAGGCAGTGGGGGAACAATGCTGCATCCACTTCCATGAATATGATTATTTTTTTTTTCTTTTTAGAATCCCGAACTTCTCTTCTAATAGCCTGCAATTTGCCTGCATTCCATTAACAGAAAAGGAAAAACTAGTCACACCAGTTTACAAACACCAGCCTACCTCTGAGGCAGCTGGTTCATCTGGCAATGCCGGTTAGGATGGCTAAATCTCCATCGCCCCACACTGGGAAAACTATCTGATAGCTGCATGGACTTGATAAGTATATGGAACCTATCTTTAGCAACTTTATCATTTGCTTTGCATGTTTCCCAAGGCTTTGGAAATGACGGCCCATTCTATATATGAATGGCCAATTTAATGGGATGATTACCTACATTACAGATGGGCAGTGATTCTATACACCTGTGGAGAACCTCTCCTCCGGGATGAACATATCTAGCTTACAAGTGGGGGATGTGCTAGCTCCTTACAAGTATGTGAGGGAGGTCTTAAATGGGACACACTATCCTCCTCTGGACGGCGTACCCTATGGTGGACGCTAGAGAGAGGTGTTAAATATATATATACACATATGCAACAACCATCTCCCTTTCTTTGCACTATACCTGGGATCCGCTCCCCCCACTCTCTACAAGCTTGGAAGTCCATACACTATTGTCTTTGCACATTTTGAATCCGATATGGTAGAGGGGAGACTCCGTTGGAGGAAATTCATCATAGAGACAACCGCCTTTTCATTGGAATCACAGGCCCTTGTTATTTATGGTGACCCACTCATGGAACTGTAGAGCTACCATTGCTATCCTAAAGATATTGACAGCACTTTGGGATTACAACCTTGCAGATTGATTTTGGAAGATCTTTCATCAATGCAAACCCTTCAGTTATAGGGGATACTTCAGTTTCCATACATCATGAATATCTTTATCATTTACAAGTGTTTACAATGATTAAGCAGTACTCTGACAGTTTATATTATACAGTCATGGCCGAAATTGTTGGCACCCTTGATATTTCTCCAGGAAATCATGTATTTCTCACGAAACGTATTGCATTAACACATGTTTTGCTATACACATGTTTATTCCCTTTGTGTGTATTGGGACAAAACAAAAAAAGGGAGGAAAGAAAGCAAATTCGACATAATGTCACACAAACCTCCAAAAATGGGCTGGACAAAAGTATTGGCACCCTTTCACAACTGCGGATAAATAAGAATGTTACAAGCATGTGATGCTCCTGTAAACTCACCTGGGGCAAGTAACAGGTAGTGGGCAATATAGAAATCACACCTGAAAGCAGATAAAAAGGAGAGACGTTCACTTAACCTTTGCATTGTGTGTCTGTCTGTGCCACACTAAGCATGGACAACAGAAAGAGGAGACGAGAACTGTCTGAGGACCTGAGAACCAAAATTGTGGCAAAATATCAACAATCTCAAGGTTACAAGTCCATCTCCAGAGAACTAGATTTGCCTTTGTCCACAGTGCGCAACATTATCAAGAAGTTTGCAACCCATGGCACTGTAGCTAATCTCCCTGGTCGTGGACGGATGAGGAAAATTGATGAAAGATTGCAACGCAGAATAGTCCGGATGGTGGATAAGCAGCCCCAAACATGTTCCAAAGACATTCAAGCTGTCCTGCAGGCTCAGGGAGCATCAGTGTCAGCGCGAACTATCCGTCGACATTTAAATGAAATGAAACGCTATGGCAGGAGACCCAGGAGGACCCCACTGCTGACACAGAGACATAAAAAAGCAAGACTACAGTTTGCCAAAATGTACTTGAGTAAGCCAAAAGCCTTCTGGGAAAACGTCTTGTGGACAGATGAGACCAAGATAGAGCTTTTCGGTAAAGCACATCATTCTACTGTTTACCGAAAACGGAATGAGGCCTACAAAGAACAAAACACAGTACCTACGGTAAAATATGGTGGAGGTTCAATGATGTTTTGGGGTTGTTTTGCTGCCTCTGGCACTGGGTGCCTTGACTGTGTGCAAGGCATCATGAAATCTGAGGATTACCAAAGGATTTTGGGTCGCACTGTAGGGCCCAGTGTCAGAAAGCTGGGTTTGCGTCCAAGATCCTGGGTCTTCCAGCAGGACAATGACCCCAAACATACGTCAAAAAGCACTCAGAAATGGATGGCAAAGAAGCGCTGGAGAGTTCTGAAGTGGCCAGCAATGAGCCCAGATCTAAATCCCATTGAACACCTGTGGAGAGATCTTAAAATTGCTGTTGGGAAAAGGTGTCCTTCCAATAAGAGAGACCTGGAGCTGTTTGCAAAGGAAGAGTGGTCCAAAATTCCGGGTGAGAGGTGTCAGAAGCTTATTGATGGTTTATAGGAAGCGACTGATTTCAGTTATGTTTTCCAAAGGGTGTGCAACCAAATATTAAGTTAAGGGTGCCAATACTTTTGTCCAGCCCATTTTTGGGGTTTTGTGTGACATTATGTCATATTTGCTTTTCTGCCTCTGTTTTATATTTGTTCCAATACATACAAAGGGAATAAACATGTGTATAGCAAAACATGTGTTAATGCAATACCTTTTTTGTGTGAAATACTTGATTTTCAGGAAAAATATCAAGGGTGCCAACAATTTCGGCCATGACTGTATATAAGCAGCAATCAGTCCCACTATTAGTACATTTGGGGGATTATGGAGATGCTTTTAAGTGTTATATGTGCTGTTTGCACAGTAAAGAGAATTGTTTATTTTGCTCTGGCCACAAATATTTATATATATTTCCAGGTAAAGTTTCTTTACATAAAACCCCACATAATTCTGGTTGTGCCTTAAACTAATTTTTTCATTTTTTGTACAAAATACGTCCATCAAAGAAGACTAGTTTTGTAGCCCTGTATACTCTCTTCACAACTTTTATAAAATAACCCTCCAGACTGGATATCTCATCCAATAAACAGTTTGAACTGGCACCATAAACTCACTTTTAGCTGCCTGTTCTTCCAGAATTTTCTTTGTCCGAGCTGTGGTCCCCTTTGGCATATTAATGATATATTTCCCTTCAATCTCGGCAGTCACCCTGCGACGTTTTACTGGAACCTCTGCAGTGTCAGCTGCAGGTGAAGACACAGCTATAGAGAGAGGATGCGCATAGGTCAAAAAAAATCAAATGCTATTTGGCATATACCCATGTCTTATACCTAGGCAATAATACTTCAATAAATAATCATTTTTGTTTGCCTGAATTTAAACACAAACTACCTGACTGTGCGTTCTTCATAGCCACTTTATTGGAAACTGTAACGGAGATCTTCGATGTGCTTGTTTCAGGTCTGCGGACAGGGGTTGAGGGAGGAGAGTCTCGACTTAGACTGTTTGCAATCATTCTTGTGGCTGCTAACAAAAAAAAAAAAAAGCAATGAGGAAAAAAGCATTTTCAGTCTAATGCAGCTTTCTAGAAGAACCGTTGGAATAATTTTCAGGTACATGAGCATCAGTTAAGTGAAGATATGATATTCAAATTAATAAAGAATGTGGTACATTTCACAAACCGCATTTTTCGCTTCATAAGACGCACTTTTTTCCCCCCAAAAAAGGGAGGAAAATGTCAGTGTGTCTTATGAAGCGAATATGGAGCGGCCGGTCTGGTATTTCCACCGCCGCAGTGTCAGAATACAGGGCTGGCCGCTCAGCTCTGCAGTGGGACCTTACCTGTTCCTCTATCCAGCGCCGCGCTGTCTTCCCGGCTTCTGTAGTGTGGGCGCTCAGCTTGACAGCTGGGTGCCCAGTGCGCATGTGCGAGAAGCGGTGCGCTTTGTGAATGGTAAGGCGACACATGACAGGTCCCAGAAGCCGCCGACCAATCACAAAGCGCAGCGCTTCTCGCTCATGCGCACTGGGCATCCGGCTGTCAAGCCGAGCGCCCACACTACAGAAGCTGGGAAGACAGCGTGGCGCTGGATAGAGGAACAGGTAAGGTCCCGCTGCAGAGCGGACACTAACCAAAGAACAACTCCGCGGAAGAGCGGGTACCTGTCAAATTCAGGTACCCGCCCCCCCCCCCCCCCCTCCCCAAAGGTCAGTGGTCATCTCCTGTACTGTGTCCGCAGTCTCTGGTCATCTCCTGTACTGTGTCCGCAGTCTCTGGTCATCTCCTGTACTGTGTCCGCAGTCTCTGGTCATCTCCTGTACTGTGTCCGCAGTCATCTGGTCATCTCCTGTACTGTGTCCGCAGTCTCTGGTCATCTCCTGTACTGTGTCCGCAGTCTCTGGTCATCTCCTGTACTGTGTCCGCAGTCTCTGGTCATCTCCTGTACTGTGTCCGCAGTCTCTGGTCATCTCCTGTACTGTGTCCGCAGTCTCTGGTCATCTCCTGTACTGTGTCCGCAGTCTCTGGTCATCTCCTGTACTGTGTCCGCAGTCTCTGGTCATCTCCTGTACTGTGTCCGCAGTCTCTGGTCATCTCCTGTACTGTGTCCGCAGTCTCTGGTCATCTCTACTGTATTATGTCTGCAGTCCATTGGTTTAGAATATTTTTTTTCCTGTTTTCTGCCTCTAAAACCTAGGTGCGTCTTATGGTCAGATGCATCTTATGGAGCGAAAAATATGGTATTTATAACATGGAGCAGATAATTTTCGAATACGCATCAGTTCTGCAGAACAATACCATTTTCTGCAAAAATCCTAAAATGAAAACGAATAGCAGGAAAAAAAAATGCAGTGGAAACTGTAGTGTATCCTTTACATTGGTGGTCTAAGAAAAAAAAAAAAAAAAAAAAAAAAGGCTTTTCTCGGATGTCTGCACTGAGAAGTTAAAGTAGAACTAAAAGGCAAAACTATTTTTCATATTGGATAGAGTAATGGAGTTGTATAGCCCGTCAGTTTATTTTTTTCCCCCATTAGTGAGTTTCAGCTTTGGAACAGGAAATTAAGGGAAAAATAGCAAGCAAGAGGAAATCCCTGTGAAAATAAGTGAATCCAGGTCACCAGAACTAGTGTCCCCATTGGAAGATTGGAGATATTACTTTTCTTGGGACAACCCAAAATGTGGGATTTTCTTTTACTTTCACTATTAACCACTTGCCCTCCTGAGGATTTACCCCCCTTCCTGATCAGGGCATATTTTGAACTACGGCGCTGCGTTACTTTAACTGACAGTTGCACGGTCACACAATGCTGCACCCAAATTAAATTTACGTCCTTCTTTCCCCACAAATTGTGCTTTCTTTCAGTGGTATTTGATCGCCTGTGCGGTTTTAAATTTTTTGTTCTATGAAAAAAACAAAAAACACAATTTTAAGAAAGAAAAAAAAAAAACTACTATATTTTTGACTTTTTGCTATTAAACATGTCCACTAAAAAAAAAAAAAAAAAAAAATGTAAAAAAAATCAATTTCGTCATAAGTTTAGTCCAAAATGTAGTCTGCTACATGTCTTTGCTTTAAAAAAAAAAAAAAAAAAAAAAATCCCAAATACGTGTAAATTAGGTTATATGAAAGTTACAGCATTTACAAATGGAGGTATATATACTGGAATTTTTTTTTTTTTTTTTAAACGAACAATGGCGGCGATCAGTGACTTATAGCAGGTCTTCGGCAGACATTCTGACACTGGGGGGAACTGACTTGGTGTCACTGACATCCACAGTGACACCAATACAGTGATCAGTGCTAAAAAAACAAAAAGCACTGACAATGTACTAATGGCACTGGGCAGGAAGAGGTTAGCATGAGGGGCGATCAAAGGGTTAACTGTGCACTGTGTTTGTGTGTAAGCACACAGCGGGCTGTGTACAGCAATGCAAACCAGTGTGCATGAACTGGCAGGGAGGAGAACTGTTTTGTTTACAAACAGTTCTCCTCCCTGTCGGAGATCCTCGGCAATCACCAGGTGCTAGTGAATAATCACTGGCTGGGACCCAGTGATTGTCAGCCGCAAATAGCGGCGTGGGTAGGGCGCGCGCACACCCCTACCCGTAAAAGCAAAATCACATATACACTAATATTATACATATATCGCACCTGTACTATAGGGCGGTAGGGAAGCGGTTAATAATAGTAAACAAGCCAAACAGAGAGGCTGAATCTCCATAACTGGGTCATATACAGCAATAAAAATATAATAGATGTTCTAATCCCTCTCCACTCTATCCAAAACTAAAAAGCTTTGGCTTTAGTTACACTTTAAAATTTCAAGTAATCCCTGCAACTGTTTCATGTTTGGTCAATGCTCTCCAAGGCAAATCCACTTCTAAATGGATGCAGATTACATTAGGTAGGTTTGATGAAATCGGACCACTCCCCTTCCGAAATCACTTTCAAACAGATATGGCAAAAAAAAAAAAAAAACACAATTTCTTCAACACAGAGAAAAAAAAAGTATGACTCTGCAAAGACGTTTGATAAAATCCTTGCATTATATACTATGGAATATAGTTCACTTCAGTGAACAGAACTTTAAAGACTACACAGTTAAATAGTGTTCCAAGTTACTTACGGCTATTAGCATTCCTCCGTAGTTCATTCTGCATGCTGATCTGGTTAGGAGCCTCAGTCAAAGCTTTACAAATATCCTGTAGGGGGCACAAATAAAAATAAACTTAGCTAGTTAAATCCAACGAATGGCTCTCCTTATATGCTGCAATTCTGTTATTTTTTGCCATTATATATTTTTTCACATACAACCCATCGTGTCTGAAGTCAGGTTATTTAAAGAAAACTCATACTTTCCCCACGCAAAGAATGCTGGCCCCACCAGCAGCATGCTCTCTTTCCATTTGTCAGGTTCTTCTTGGTATGGAGGAGTATGCAATTCTCTCCCCTCCCAAGTGCTAATGCTGGTGCCTGACAATTAGTTGTTCAGGCACACAGTGCTGTCACATGTGGGACAAGGAGAGATCTCAGACCCAGATAATCTCTAAGTTGCGACTAAGAGCTTAAACGGTGCTAATTTTCCCTTGCTTCAAATGGCTGAATAGAGCGAGGGGGTGCAAGACAGGGTAAGCATTAGTGGTGCACTGAAATAAAAATTCTGGTGCTGAAACCAAGAATTCTAAATGCACTTGGCCAAAACTCGAAATGCGCAGTTCTTAAAAATATATATTTTTTTTAAAAAAAATACACTGAGAAAAACAAAACAAAAAAAAAAAACCCCCACCACAATATATACCCCAATGTATTTGTAAAATATGAAAGAGGATGTTATGGCAAGTAAATAGATACCAAACATGGCACACTTTATAATTGCGCACGCTCGTGGAATGGCGTGAAACTACGGTACTTAAATATCTCCATGAGTGATGCTTTAAAAATTTTTACAGGTTAAAAGTGTAAAGTTACAGAGGAGATCTAGTGCTAGAATTATTGCTCTTACGTTCGTGGCGATACTTCACATGTGTGGTTTGAACACTGTTTACATATGTGGGCATGGCCTACATATGGGGGCACTTTAAACTCTTTTTTTTTTTTTGCACTGTCCCTTTAAAACATTTTTTAATCACTTTTATTCTTATCACAAGGAATGCATGCATCTCTTGTGATAGAAATAATAGCACAGCCATACAAAGCAGTGTGCTTACAGTGAAGCACAAAAACAGCCCTGTATGTAAAACGGCAGACAGCACACAATTAGCCCCCTCATGTTGACCCTTCCTGCCCAGTGCCATTAGTACAGTGTCAGTGCTTTTTATTCGCACTGATCACTGTACTGGCGTCACTGGGTATGTCAGTTCCCCCCAGTGTCTGAATGCCCGCTACAAGTTGCTGATCGCCACCATTACTAGTAAAAGTAAAGAAAAAAATCCCAGTACATATACACTATTTGTAAACACTATAACGTTCATGTAAACCAATTAATTACACATATTGGGATTTTTTTTTTTTTTTTAGCAAAGACATATAGAATATACATTTTGGCCTAAATTTATGATGAAATTTGATTTAATTTTTTTTTCACTGGCCATATTTAATAGCAAAAAGTCAAAAATATAGTTTTTTTTCCTCAAAATTGTCAGTCTTTTTTTATTTAACAGCGCAAAAAATAAAAAATAAAGCACAGGTGATCAAATACCACGTAAATTTAATTTGGGTGCAGCATTGCATGACCGCACAATTGTCAGTTAAAGTAACGCATAAAATGGCCTCGTCAGGAAGGTGGGTAAATCCTCAGGAGAGCAATGCTAGTTGCAAAATACATTCAAGCCACCAAAAAAAAAACAAAAAAACACAAAACACAACAGTAAGGGCTCATGCAAACCAGAACCCTGTTCTCTGTTCCAGATCAACAAGTGGCATTGTGCATTGTTAACCCCTTATGAGCCTTACCTTTACCATCTACACGTGAGTGGTTTTAATCATGTTCACCATTAAATAACAGACTACACTCAGAGGCGCTGATTTTCTCTCTTTACCTACTCCAGAGTCACTTGCTTCACTCTACAACAGCTTGCCGGGTATCCCCAGACCGTTTGGTTCCCCTGCCAGCTCCTCACACCACACTCAACCTATAGACTATGCGGACTGCATATTCCATGCGCCTGTTACTCCTTTTTTACTGCATATACAGACTGATTTTACTGTTGTGGGTTAAGTAACACCTTAAAAGATAAGTTTTAAATTCAGGCATTGTTACAAATTGTGCTAGCTCCTTTGATTTATTGTGTGGGAGGGAAGCTATAATGCTTTCGCCAATCATAGTATACAACTTTACTTGTAAAATTAACGTGTAAGTCAACAGAAACTGCCCAAAAAAAGCTGAAAAAATTTGGAAAAGGTAGCTTGCTGCCCCAGGTTTAGCTCCGACTTCATTAATTCTGAATAGATTATGGTCTTAAAGAGCTGGGGAATGGCTGGTGTGTCCTATATTGGAGGGCACCTGGGTATTCATAAGTGATAAGCCAGTTATATTGTTTATGACTGTATGAAATAGATGTAGGATTTATAAAAGGCAAGGCACTGAAAGTGTTTTCATTTTTTGGTCTTGTTTTAGTGTTTAGTTTATTTATACATCTGTATATATAATTCAGTAGCGATATTGGATTTTTTTTCTTGTAAAAGATGCGGTTTGGGTAATTATATTTTTGGAAGGTTTATAATTATACTAACATTTAACTGTAATGGTAAAGAGATTGGATTGCATGATTTTTGGTTTTGTAAAAGAAATGTCTAAATATTAATAAAAAAATTGAGAAAACAAAATTTACTTAAAAGTAAAATGATCACATGCAGGCAAGGAATTCGCTGTTTTGCCCATTGGGACCCAGCTCCTACTGTTTTGCATTGCAACTTAACAAAAGAAGGCAATGTGACTGTTTGGTATGGAAAAATTGTCATGAATAAACAAGTTGAAAAACTGGTTTCTCAAGGAGGAGTTAGCCAAAAGGTATAAGTAATAGGGAGTAATTCTCAAAAGAAAAAAAGTTACACCCCAAAAAAACCCCAAAAAAACAACATAGCTAGGGTTGACTTCATGGTCAGCTAGTGCTTAATAGGAGGTCAAAACAGAACAACTACATTTTCATCATACCTGTTGGTGAACTACCTTTGCATGTTTCAGTATGGCAATCACATCTCCCACCACCGTTATGCCCAACTCATTCATGATCTCCTTGTTCAAATCCAACAGCATGTTCTTGCTGATCCTATGATAAAAAGGAATATGCATTTCACAACTGTACACATCCCAGCTCTGTATGAATGACAGCATGACAGCATTCCCCTCCTTTCCCTATTGACATCGCATTTGCTTCTACATAGACACCGATGCCAATCCAGTAATTACAACCCTTTAAAAAACAAAAAGGGGCACACCTGATTTAAAACTGAACTTCAGCCATTTTTTTTTTTAGAGCAGGGAAAGGCTCAAACCTCAGTCAAGTGTTTCTGGTGTTTCTACTTTGTGGATATTTCTGTTCCAGTAATGTCATGGGACATGAGGGGATGGAAAGTCTCCCTTAAAAGACACCAACAATAATGAAACCAGACAGTGCTTTCCATTCCTCCCCTACTCTACCTAAAAAGTAAATGTTTTTGGCAGAAGTTTCAATTTTAATGACACACAAAACATTGGAAATCAATTTGGGGTCCTGAAGCAGTTAATTCTGGGACACACAGGTATTTTTTTTTTTCCTTCAACCCAGCAGGCTGAACAAATTGAAGAAAAAAAAAAAAGAAAGAAAAGGAAAACCTGAGGAGGAGCTCACAAGGAGCTTGCTGTACTAACTATGTGATGTTAGTACAGCGATCTACCCGCTGAGCTATTGTGTTCTAACAGGGGGAACTGCCTCCCCCCACCACCAGAACACACCGGTAAGCATTCACAGCCATTGGCTGCATGCGCTGATTGGATACTGCTCAGCTGCTGGTTTTACAGCATGCTTCGACAAAAGCTAGACGTAAGGTAAATAACAAACATGTCATACTTACCTGCTCTGTGCAGTATTTTTGCACAGAGCAGATGTGATCCTCTTCCTCTCCTCAGGTTCCCGCGCTGGTGCTCCTGGCCCCTCCCGCCAAGTGTCCCCACAGCAAGCAGCTTGCTATGGGGGCTCCCAAGCCACTGCTCTGTGTGTCCATTCATTCACACACACTAGTGCGGCTCAACCCCGAGCCCCACTCTCTCCTTATTGCTTTACTAGCTGTGACCAATGCCTCCTGATGCTGTCTCAGCCAATGAAGGAGAGTCCTCGGAGAGCCTAGGCTCCCATGCACATGGCTGGATCAAGATGGGGCTCAGGTAAGTATTAGAAGTTGCTGGGGAGGGGGGGGGCTTGTGCAGTGTTGGGCTGCTGGACACAGGTTTTTTACCTTCATGCATAGAACCACTTACAACCACTTTAATCTGTAGAAGAAACGCAACTGAAAGTTAAAAAAATGAATAAAAGAACTACATTAACCTGCTGAGTGACCTGCGCAAAAAAAAAAAAAAAAAAAGTATAATTACCTGCTCTGTGCAAGCCCCGATGCTCCTCTTTTTGGGTCCCCTGCTGGTGCTCCTGACCCCTCTTTGCCCCCCATATCACCACAGCAAGCCCATTTCTATAAGGGCACTCATGTGGCCTCCCTCCCAAGCCACACCCAGTGTCCACTGACAAACAGAGCAGGGCTCTGCCCCATCCCTGCTCCCTCCTCGCTGGCTGTTAATGACAGCAGCAGGAGCCAATAGGGAGCAGTGCACTGAAGGCTTTTTACCTTAATCCAAAGAATGCATTAAAAAGGTAAAAACCTTCAGCCTTTAGAACCACTTTAACAAGTGGCACTAAACTCCTAAAGTACCTCCCTCAGCCTCCTCCAAATACCTATTTTATGTTGCTGTGATCTGACTACCTGTTGGAGGGTGGCCACAATCAATCTTTCGCCATAGTCTCGCTGTATGTAGGAACATAGTCGCCCTCTCTTGCTCACTCCTGAGATAGACTGTGACATTTTTCACATGCATAGAACAGTGCACAGTTCTATGCAGAACAGTGCAACTAGCATGCACTGTTTATTCCAAACAAACAAGTGAAAGAGAAAAGGAGAGGTGCGGAAGTTCACAGAGGATATTACGGGGAGACAAACACAGTAAAAACCAATTTTATGAAATATAGATTACTGGACCCTTAAGTAGTGTATGTGTATGGAGGATAATGTTTAGTGTCACTTCAAGTCCACTTACACTATGATGCTAACCATATTAAACGTACCAGAAAACATTTTTTGATTCATCTACAAACTTTAGGAAACACAAAGTTTATGAGCTAAAGAAAAGTTTGGGGCCTCATCCAAACAAACATTTTAAACCGATTAGGGGTTATATGCTGGATATACAGTAGGAGGGCTGCAGCTCAAAGTTTGACATGCCTGGCATATTATATATGTTTCACTTTAGGAAAATGCAGCTTCTAGAAGGGTCTAGTGTTTTGCCTGTAGAATCAACTAATGTTATGCTTTGTGCCAATGCAGAGAGGATTATTTTAGGCTCAGCACTTACAGGCAGAAGAAGAAGAAGAAAAAAAAAAAAAAAAAAAAAAACACACCCTGTTTTGTGTTTTTGAGAGCAGAAAAAAAATTCTAAAAGCACTCCTAAATGCTAGTACAAAAAAAAAAAAAAAAAAAAAAAAAAAAAACGCTCAAAAATAGTGCTTTTTTTTCTGCCAAGAGCACTGACATTTTTTGGGTTAGTGTGCATGGACCCCTAAAACTAGATTTTCACTTTGACTAGAAGGATCTTGATTCGGGTTAGACAATGGAGTGGAATAGCTGGCTCTTCTCAATACTCCTAATGCTTTGTTTTCCCACATGGCTGTGTAGTGATATCCTCTCACCTGTTGTCCACAAATGTCACAGCATAGTTGACAGCAGGTCCTGCAGGAATGCCAGCTTCCTTGAAGAAGCTGATCCACTCTGAGGTGGCTGAAAAAAAAAAGAAACCACTGTAATGTAAACGTTTAAGCCCTGTTCAAATCTGTGTGTTGAATGAACATTGCAGACATGTTTTATAGGCATTACCATTGAACTCTAACTGGCAATTTGATGGAAAACACATGAAAGATGCGGCAAGCAGGATATTTAATGCAATGCACGTAGTATTTTTTAATAGGAATGGCCCCCCCAAGTAGAAAAAAGTAGCCAAAACTACAGTGCCATGAAAAAGTATGTGAGCCTTCTTGTAAAGAACAGGATTTCTGCAGTAATTGGGCATACAGCATGACCTGATCCTCATCTAGGTCGCAAGAATATACAATGTGCTTAAACTGATAACACACGAACAATTCTATTTTCTCATGTCTTTGTTGAACGAACCCATTAAAGGCAATCTTTCTCCTTTTTTTTTTTTTTTTTAAATAACAAACAAGTCATACTTACCTGTTCTGTGCAATGGTATTGCACAAAGCAACCCCGAATCTCCTTCTCAGGTCCTCCTGTCGAGTGCCCCTAGAACAAGCTGCTTGTTCTGGGGGAACCCATGCAGGCTTGCTTCTGAGCTGCTGCTCTGCATGTCCATTCACACACAGAGCTGCGGCTGGCACCCCCCCCTCCTCATTGGCTCACCAACTGTGAATGACAGCAGCGGAAGCCAACAGCCCCCACTGATGTCTCAGCTAATGAGGAGGGAGAGTCCCCAGAGAGCCAAGGCTCTTGTGTACATTGCAGGGGCTCAGGTAAGTATTAGGGGGAGCTGGGGGACTGCTGCACACAGGTTTTTTTTAATGGTGGTGCACCGAAATGAAAATTCTGGTGCCGAAACCGAAACTTCAAAATGCACTTGGCCGAAAACTGAGATTTTTAATAATTTTATTCTTATCACAAGGAATGCATGCATCCCTTGTGGTAGAAATAATTAGTCACACGTCCTCTTTATGGAGACTTATTGACCCCACATCTCTCCTCTGCAATGTAAAGCAAGATCGAAAAAAGCATTGATCTACTTTAAAAAAAAAAAAAAATAGCTGGAACCGGAAGCGACATCGCTCCGGTCCTCCAAGGGCATAGAGATGAGTGGAAGCCGTCTTTCCTACACTAATCTCTATGCCCAGCGCCGGGATTGTTCGATGGTTTCTCAGGTAAGACTGAGAACTACCGAGCGGTGGTGAGGGTTTTTCGTCACCTGTATCAGTGCTTTTTTTCATATCATCCGAAAGGGGTGTTTTCGGCCGAAACGTTTTGGCCACCGAAATTTTGGTGCATCCCTACATAAGAAGCATCAGTTGATGTAAACCATGCCTTGCAAATTAAGATTAGTTGATCTGCCATATCGAAGTGTTTAGGCATCTATCAGTCAACAGTTAGAAAAAGTGTCTATAAATGGAAACAGTTTAGTACTTTGACTACTCTTCGTACAATTGGGTGTCCAGCCTGAATGACTCCTAAGGCACAACGCAGAATCTTCAATGAGGTAAAGAAGAACCCACAAGTAACAGCTAAAGGTTTGAAGACATCACTGGAACTGGCAAACATCCCTGTTCATAGGTCTACCATACCCAAGTCTCAACAAGCAGGGTGTCATGTCAGGACACTTTATATTGACACTGTATAATAACTAACTGGTAGTGCCTGCTTGTAGATTTTGTTATCACTATGCCTAGGAGCCAGGAAACCTGGGGCTACCAATCTGTATAGGTCAGTGTGAAGTTCCTCCACAGGGAGGGGCTACTCTGGCCTGTACACCCCCCACACAAGAGGAAATTTCCACATTGAGCACCCCATGTCACAATTTAAAGCTAACCTGTGCTGAAAGAAATATGAAGGGCACCATGCTGACTTATGGTTGTCATGCTGATCATTAACACTTTCCAAATAACTCAGAACAAGAATACACATCAAAGTATGATTTCACTTGTTGCTTGCTTGTTCAGACTGTGGTTGAAAATATTGAATCCAGAAACATCCAGCATCTCCAGAAGGCGATCTGTAAAGGCAACCTCCACATTTTCTCAGTACAAATTGCTTTAACTAAAGGACCTTCAGCTCTACATCAGTTCAATAAAATGACTTCACATCTTCCCCATTGAATATCATGTTATATTAGTTGCAGTGCAGGAATTGTAGCAAAAGCCAGTAGCTAGTTAAACAATAACAGAAATACTGATACAATGTGTCTTACCCATAGTTACAGAAGCCATGATGTGTCCACTCAATGGATATCTGAAATGCAGACAGGGAACATTAAGATCCAAAGTGCATCTTTTATCCAAACGTACACAAAAATTGTTCCATACAGAAAGATGAAGGACGCAAGGCAGCAGTGAACACAAAAGATATGGAAGATGATCAATACGGAAAGAGTTCAGTGGGTTGGCCAGGCCCCCCCCCCCCTCATAGCCACACAGGACAGCAGCTGAGAGACGAAAATAACTCCTGACTCCAATGCATAGCTAGCTCCTCTATTTATGGCCAGGACAGGGATGAAGCTCTGACACATGCAAGCATGGAAGCCTCACGATAAAAAGTGTAGAACCTCGCTCCATTGCTACCAGATTTCCGTATTAATTTTCCCATCCTGTGCGATAAATATGAAAGGGAGAATCTGATTGGCTGCTATGGGTGTCAAGAATAATTCTCCCAGCAGTAACCGGTGATTATAGGGTACAGGTATTACATACTGCCCAATGCGGACTAAGATCAAAATGGTGTTGGTGCAGAAACACAGAAATGACGGCAGAAAAAGTGCTCCATCGAGTTCGCCCCTCCCCCTTTTTATTTTATTTTCTTCTGTTTTTAACTTTTTTTTCTACGTTTAGACCTGTTTGTGCCAAGCATGCTTGATTCTAAAGGGTTTTTTAACCACTTGAACACCGGGCACTTTCACCCCCTTCCTGCCCAGTCCAATTTTCAGCTTTCGGTGCTGTCGCACTTTAAAATGACAATTGGCGGTCATGCAACACTGTACCCATATTACATTTTTTTGAGACATATAGAGGTTTCTCTTGGTGGTATTTAATCATCACTGGGGTTTTTTTATTTGTTGCTAAACATAAAAAGACTGAAAATTTTGAAAACAAAAATTATGTTTTTCTTAGTTTCTGTTATAAGACTTTGCAAATAAGTAATTTGTTTTCTTCACTGATGTGCTCTGATGCGGCTGCACCGATTGGCGCTGTAGCTGTGTTTTGGCTATTGTGTGGTCGGCAAGCAGTTAAACATGTCATACTTACCTGCTCTGTGATGGTATTGCACAGAGCAGCCCCAATATACCTCTTCTGTGTTCCCTCGTAAGTGCTCCTCCCCCCTACCGAGTGCCCACATAGCAAGGCGCTTACTATGGGAGCACTCGTGTGTGCTAATTTCCGAGGCTCGCTGTGTGTCCACTTACACACAGAGCATGGCTCGCCCCCCCCCCCCCGCACCCCTCCTCACTGGCTATGATTGACAGCAGCAGGGGCAAATGACACCTACCACTGTCTCTGAGCCAATGAGGAGGTGGCGAGCTACTGCTCTTGTGCACATCACTGGATAGAGATTGGGCTCAGGTAAGTATAAGGGGCGGGGGGGAGGTTTTTTTTTACCTTAAGGCAGGGGTGGGCAACTGTGGCCCTCCAGCTGTTGGTGAACTACAGGTCCCATCATGCCTCTACTTTGGGAGTCATGCTTGTAACTGTCAGTTTTGCAATGCCTCATGGGACTTGTAGTTCTACAACAGCTGCAGGGCCACAGTTGCCCACCCCTGCCTTAAGGTAAAAAAAAAAACCTTCAGCAAGCAACTCCCCCCCATGCTGGTGATTCCTCTAGTGCAGAGGTTCCTAACCTTTTTTGAGTCAAGAACCCCTTTAAGAATCTAATGAAAGATATGGACGCCTCCCCAGAAATATTCACAAAAACATAACTTTGCATGAAACTGAACATCTGTATTTTATTTTTTTTCTGTATTTAATTTGATTGCTTCAGACATACGGCATAAAATTATTTATTCAAAATTTGTGTAACAAAAAAAGAAAAAAAAAAAAAAAAAAAACACTCCTTTTCATAAAAAAAAAACCCATTTTTTTTCAACTGCTACCTGACTGCCCAATAGTAGAAGTACTGCTTACAGGACGGCAGGGATGCACAAAATCACATATATATATATATACATATACACATATATACACGTGATTTTGCGTTCCTGGGTAGGGGGCGCGCGCGCCTTACCTACGCCGCTATTGGATGCTCGGCTGTCAATCACCGGGTCCTGCCCGCCAATTCTCGGCCAGGATTCTGTAACCGTTGGCAGAGCTGATAAGGAGAGTTCTGTATGTAAACAACAAAAATCTCTCCCCTATCATTACGAACAGGCTGCTTTGTATTGCTCTGCACAGCAATATGTGGTTGCATGACCACACAATTGCCAGTTAAGGAGACGCAGCGTGGTATTGCAAAAAATGGCCTGGTCAGGAAGGGCGGTAAATCCTCTGGAGGGCAAGTGGTTAATCTGACCCTCACGGACCGCCTGAAACCCATCCATGGACCGCAGGTTAAAAAAAACCCTGCTCCAGTTAAAACTAAGGATCAATATAGGGGGATCGGGACCCTCCTTCCTTCTGCGGGTGATCCCTCTAGTGATAACAAAAGATCTATATAAAGAAATCAGGATCTCCTTCCTCCTGCTGGTGATCCCCACTAGTGATTGAACTCAGAATTCTATTCACTTTCACATCCATTTTATGGTATAGTGCAAAAAGTCCCTAATGCAGGCCATAGACGGGTCATTTATTGGCCGAATTTTCGTCCTCATGAAAAAATCGGCCGATATTCACGCTTTAGTGGGGCCAGCCCGTCGGCCATTTTTTCGCAGGTCTTCTCATTTACTTTTATCGGTCATGCTGGAAAATCTGACCTTTGGCTTGTTTACTGACTATGCTTCTTTTTGATGCCTACCTGCTATATCTGCTACCGGACCTCAACTTTCTCACCTCCTGGTGGGGTGATCCCGAGGATCGCGACCTGGTACTAGCACGCAGCAAAACCTGCCTGACTGATGATCAGGACTCTCTCTCTCTTGCTCTGTCAGGACGGCATCTGAAACCACGGTCTCTGCTGTGTCAGGCAGTAGCTCTTCTGACTGATCCACCTGAGATGCTGGACAACATCCTGTTTGATCCACTTGACAATCCTGGCTTAATCCCTGTTTCTGGTGAACCTTGAACTCTTGGCTACTCCTATGAACTTCCTATTTAAGCCATGCCTTTGTATTTCATGTTTACCAGATTAAAGTGCTCTTCTCCAGCCAATATCTTGCTCTTGGCTCTCCTGCTGCCATCACCTGCTTCGCTACTACTCCTTACAAATCTTGGCTTGTTCTTTGACTTTGCTTCTGCTTGAGCCTAACCTGCTAACATTTGTGATTAACCTTTGGCTTGTCCCTCAACTGTGCTTCTGCTTGTTCCCAAGTTCCCAACCTGCAACCACTTGTTACCAACCTCTGGTTTGTTTACTGACTATGGTTCTGTTTGACCCTCCCTGCTCTATCTGCTCACCTCCTGGTGGGACGAATCTGAGGACCATGACCTGGTACTAACACGCAGCAAAACCCATCTCCACTTCCTTAAACTGAACCTCTCAGAAACCGAGTTTCTTGTCTTCCCCCCAGCCCGGACACCACCCTCCACTGATTTCTCTATCACATCCAACAATGCCACCATCAAACCCGCCCCGCAGGCCAGAGTACTTGGTGTCATTCTGGACTCCAACCTATCCTTCCAGCCCCAAGTCCAATCTTTAACAAACTCGTGCAGACTCCACCTCCGCAACATCGCCAAAATCTGCGCGTTCCTAACCCCAGAAACCACTAAACAGCTCATCCACTCCCTCATCATATCGCGACTCGACTACTGCAACTCCCTCCTCACTGGCCTGCCTCGCCGCTGGCTATCCCCGCTTCAGTTGATCCTGAATACGGCTGCCAGACTCATTCACCTTTCCAACCGCTCCATCTCCGCCACCCCCCTCTGCCAATCCCTCCACTGGCTTCCGATTGCGCAACGGATCAAATTCAAAATCCTAACATTGACGTACAAAACTGTAGACCATACTGCCCCGTACTACATCACTGACCTAATATCCAAGTACTGCCCAGCAGCACACTCCGCTCCTCACAAGACCTCTTTCTCTCTAGTTCCCTGGTCTCCTCCTCCCATGCCCGCCTCCAGGACTTCTCCAGGGTGTCACCCATCCTCTGGAACTCCCTGCCCCAACCCATCAGATTATCACCTACTCTCCTCTCCTTTAGGCGCACCCTGAAAACCCATCTCTTCAGGGAAGCCTACCCCACCCCCTGCTAACTTGCCGACCTCCTCCACTCTTCCTACCACTCCATCCCCCACATTGGTGGCAGCATTGGCAACAGCACCGACTGATTTTTTGTTTATCGGCCGACAATTTGGCCGATAAACGGCCTTTCTATGGCCTGCACAAGTTTTTTTCAGTATATAAAATGTCAATTGTAACAAACCAAAGATAACCAAATAGAAAGGAGCACTGAAAACACGTCATGGTAAACAGTCCTGTGATATTAGATATCCTTGGCAGCACATCTGCTTGGTTTAAAAGGTTTATAGAAATGTATAAAGGACAGAGTGTTCCAGTATGAGTACCAGCAGCCATCTCAAGGCCAACTGAGATTTACATGTGGCTCCCATGCCAGGGCAGCAACATAAAATGAAAAGGTAAGTTTGCTTCAGAAAATTGAGTCAGATACTGTTATAAGAAATACACTCTCAAATAGGCAAGGAACTACTGGCAATACATTTGGATAACCCAGGGGTGGACTGACAACTCATGGGGCCCCCGGGCAATAGGGGATCATGGGCCCCTGTGTCCTTGTCCACACTCAAAAAAAGCCTATAAAAAAGGTACCGGGGCATTTCATGGGGCCCCCAACTGACCCCGGGCCCTCGGGCAGTGCTCGAATGGTTAGTCCGCCCCTGGGAGAACCCCTCCTATTTAACATACTTTTGTCATAACTTCACAAAAGAAAATTCACCCAGTATCAACATTCTGCAGTCCCTGTACAGCAGGGCTGTAGTGTGAGAAAAAGAAGCAGGCCTTCACTCATATGAAATTTTTAGCATTTTTTTTAATACAAGAGCTTTCTTTTAGTGGTATTGAATTGTCACTGGAGTTTTTATTTTTTGCACTATAAAACAAAAAAAAAGAGCAAAAAAAGTGGGGAA